AACAGAGAGAGCAGTGAGGCTGCTGTAGGAATAATCCAGACAGGAGCGAATGGTCATCTGGGCCAGGGAGGTATCTGTGGAAGTGATGAGAAGTGATTCCCTTCTGGTTGTTCCAGAGCTAACAGGCTGAGTACGAGGAGGGCTGTGACCTCCTGCCCCTCCGGTGGGTTCCCCTCCATGCTCCACATCTCTCTGCCTTGCTTAGGGCTCAGGAGGCTGATCGCGCATACCACATCCTCTCTGGCTTCTCTTTGGTTTGGCCCATGAGCGGCTCCTCCAGATGATGTGAAGGCAAGATGAGAGTGAGATCAGAGTATTGTTCTCCTGGCTTCCTCCCTGCCCCCACCAGCTGGCTGTGACTACCTGAGACTACAGCCCTCCCCAACTGTGACCTGTTACGGATTCCAGGAAACCTCTCCCACCCCTCCCTCATTCACGCCCAGGGACAATGCCAGCTGCTGCTGTTGCTAGCTCAAGGGTGAGGTACTATCCTTTATTGATTTTCCTCAACTTTGCCCCCAACCCTATGAATAGTCACTTTAGTAAGCTTTCCTTAAATTCTTGTGATCTTGACTCATACTAGAGCTAGAGCATCTAATGTGAAAACAGCAGAACGTTTTTTATCAGTTATTTACTCATTTTTCTCCCCACTAAAATGATTAATCTTTAAGGACAGATGATGTCATATTCCTGTTTCTGCTCCCATTTGAGTGTTATGTGTATTGATGCCACCTGAGTCCTTAAGAATTGTCTCAATTATGTTTGATGTGAAAGATTAAAAGTAGGGTGTGTGTGTGTGTATGTGTGTGTGTGTGTCCGTCCATCCATCTTAGAGCTTATAAGTTTCACCTTGTTGAATAATTCAATTCCCTTGGATCAAAGAGACTTTAAGAAAAAGTTGGGTGCAACTTTCTTATTATATATTGTTCTCATGACGAAATCTAAATCACAGTTTGTCAATTTTACCAGTTTTTGAACTGGAAAGAAATACTACTTATTCACACTTTTCCAAGAACATAAATTTTTACCAATAAAGATGATACCAGTAACCTTTTTCCAGTAACTTAAATTGTGATTGTGATTTATTAAAGTTACCTGTTAATTTTATTTGCATGACATTTTAATAGGTATTATTTATATTTGGTTATGTACAGTCGTAAAATTATCAATGTGATTGTATTGGTTTTTTTAAACCAATTATTGGTTTTACTGTTGCATTTTGTTATTGATGTTCTCTGTTGATCTAAAGAATATTTTACCTTAACATATTTTTTGGGGTTTTTTTTGTTTGTTTTTTGTTTTGTTTTTAGCTGAGCCATCCTGCCAACAGTGGCAGTTCGGCTTGGGTCGGAAATCGAACCGGCGACCCTGTTGTTCAGAGCTCACTCTTGAGCAAGCTCTTAACCAACTGAACCACTCCGCCGGCCTTAGTTGTTTTTATAATTTAGTGACTTGCCCTTTTTTTCTTTCTGCCTGTCTTTCTTTCTTTCTCTTTTTTTTTTACTTTTTTGATCTTTACTTCTTTCTGTTTTTCCTTTGGGCAAAACCTTAAAACAGTAGGCTGAGAGGCCTTGAGGTATAGTTTTAATAAAAATCTTTCTGAGTAATCATTTGATGTAAAATCCAGCCAAATCCATTAATGGAAAAAAAAGAAGTAATATCTTTTCAGTTTTAACTTTTTTGTGGTTGCTCCCATGAATGATACACACACACACACACACACACACACACACACACACACACACACACTCATTGAATTCATTTAACTATTGCCTGGATTCAACTATATTTAAGGTCCATATTTCTAATACGATGGGGAGAAAATCCCTAAATTTAAGAGAAATTGTCAAAGAATTTATTCATTAAAAACAAATTAAAACCATGGAGTTTTGCTTATGTAAAATTTTAGCCAATCCTCCAGGAAAATATCCAGAGATACTCTATTGATTGGATAATTTGTTGATGGTGTTTTAACTAAAAAAGGATTGCCTTCTTTTTCTTCTTTTTTTTTTTTAACATTACTAAATATTCTCATAACCTAAATATATGTTTTGCTTTTTTAGAGATAAACACTATATGCTTTAAAGCAGTTCCTTATTTTGTGAATTTAAAAGTTAATTTGATAGCTTCATGTGAAAGCTGAGTTAAGTGCTTGACTTTACTGAAGTGGGGAGTGCTTTTGCAATCTATGGGATGTGGAACAGCTCTGATCCATTCAAGAACCAGTCTTTCAGGGAGTGTCACCAGTTACTATCATACAGCCCTTTTCACCTTTACTCAACTCTATTAACAGGCAAATTATGACTCTTTGTGGAGTAGTATTGATTGTTGTTTTCCATTTGGGAGATCACAACCAAAATTATGGCTGTGAAATAATGAAAATGTGAAATAATGAAAACTAACAAGCTTTGACTTCAGTAGTTTTATTTTTCTGTGAATTTCCTAAACTTTCTATTAGAGAGACACTTTAATTAAGCCTCCACTCTCCCCAGAAAGAAGGTGATGATGTTTACACTGAAATCTCTTTGCTGAGTACAGGAGAGGGAGAGAGAATTGAAAAGACTTTTCTGATGGCAGCCACTTGTTTGAAAAGCTGCCTCCTTAAGCCTTCAAGGGAGACTGTGCCTCCTTCAGCCATTTCCCAGCTCAGTGACCTTGTGCAACTTACTTATTTTGGCCCTTAATAAAATGAAAGGAGTTTACCATAATATTTATTTTTCAAACTCTGCCCCATGGAGCGCTAGGGTTTCTTGGAGTCTCCTCCAGAGTCCTATGGGAGGACCAACCAGACCAATTTCTCTTGTCATTGTTTACAGTTTTTTTCAATAAAGGGTTGTATAGTTCAAAAAAGCTTGATCACCTCCCGAGTCCCTTCTAGCTCTATAAAAGTATATTGTTCTATTTGCAGTACTAAATTAGTGTTTGTTGGAAAGGCTAAGTGAATGAACTCATATGAGAGCATCATTTTCCTTTGAGAAAAGAGGAGTAGAGAGAAAATACACATAGAATTTTAGCCCTGGAAAACAATCCCTGTACTAGGAAAAATGCTTGGAATTGGCAGTGGTGTGGGATTTAAGAGAACATATGAAAAGTGAAAAACTGAAGAGAACATTTGTTCTGTTATTTTTTTTCAACTTGAGATAATAACCTTATAAATCAATTTCCTTATATGTCAGATATAGATATTGTGCCCTATTATTTGCTTTGGACAATTTTTTTAAGCTTTTAGGAGTATCCATAAATTAGAATAAATTGGTATTATTCATGTTTCACAATACATTGCTTCAAAATGTACTTTGAAAATGGCTATTTTTAATTGATTTGGCCATGTAAATAGAAAACTGTTAAAGCTACTTGAGTTATAGTTTCATATTGTTTGTGGGATAGCTAAACAAGTATCTGTATTAAAACTAAATAGATAGGGAGGGTCCAAGAGAAGAAAAAACTAAATATGTCAATTTTCTATCTATCTATAGAGATCTGTTTTTACTTTCTCTTTTTTTTTTTTTTGGTCACCTTACTGGGATAAGAACAAGGGATGTAGTAGTTATTCTTGGACCTCACATTCAGCAATTCCTCAATTGTTTTTTTCTACATGATATAATTATTAATAGCACCAATTCCATAGGCAGCTTGGATTCAAATTCTGGCTAAATGACCTTGAGCAAGTCATATATATATACCTTTCTTTGCCATGGTTTCATTATCTATAGTGGAAATAATTATGTTTCGTACCTCATAATGTTGTAGGGAGTAAGTGAATTATTACATGTGATGCACTTAGTACAGCTCCTAGCCCATAGTTGGCATGGCTTTGTGTATTATTGTTATAATATTGCTCAGAAGAGCAGAGATTTTAATCCTTAATGAAAATCCAACCTACTTGGGAGAGAAGAGACTCTATGTACTCCAGCCAGTGCAAAGGTATAAATTTAAGGGAATGAGATCATGGAAGATTAACCTGGCTGCATTCTGTGAAAAAAGATTGGTACAAAGAAACACCAGTCTCAGGGACCAGTTAGGATGCTCTGTTCCAGGCAAGAGGTAAAAATGTCCTGAAGTACTGGATTAGTTCATTCAGACTATTATATAACAAAAAGACCATAGACTGGGTGGTTTATAAACAACAGAAAATAATTTCTTGCAGTTCTGGAGACTGGGAAGTCTGACATCAAGGTGCTGGCAGATCTGGTCTCTGGTGAGGAACTGCTTCCTTGCTCATAGATGACCGTGTCCTCATGCCCGAAGGGGACAGAGAGCTCTCTGGGGTCCCTTTTAGAACGACACTAATCCCATTCGTGAGGGCCCTTACTTTCATGATCTAATCACCTCTCAATAGCCCCACCTCATTTGAGATTAGGAATTTGACGTATAAATTTTGAGGGGACACAAACATTCAGTCTATTGCAGCTATTATTACGCTACTGGAATAGAAGAAGGAAAAGAAAGTGTGAGAGGTGACAGCCTTGTATGTAGGGGAAGAGAAAGTAGGCGCTAACCTTAAACTTTCAAACTACATGACTAGCATTATGGATATAACAAACCTAGGACTGTTCTTTGGTTTCTGAACAGTTTCTATATATGGAGAAAATAAGGAATGCAAAATTTTAAAACCTAATAAAGATTAAATGTGGTCATAGCATATTATACTATATTATTTACATAATAGTTAAGTAGCTAATAGTCTTCCAAAAGAAGTGTACAGATAAAAATGAGATCTTTTAAATAACTTTCCTTCTGTTAAGAAAACTATATCCTATTTTTCCAATTCTTTCATTCAGATCCTTACATTACATTGGATCAGGCCCAGAGATTTATAATTCTTTGATTTTTGTATCCCAAGACTGTCGATACAGTGATGTGAGAAACTCAAACATAAAACCTGTTGAAAATTAAACTATCGCCTTCTGCATTTGATCCAAATCTAGAAATATATGTAATTACTAAGAGTTGCAGATAATTTTAGTCTATTATTTCATAAGTATTTTTATTATTTCCAGGTTCGATGGATGATGTACTGGATTGTTTTTGCTCTCTATACTGTGATTGAAACAGTAGCAGATCTAACAGTTGCTTGGTAAGTTCTAGTATTGAGAAAGGGCCAGACTATAGACTCGTTATCAGGTATCTTGAGTTCTTATCCTGTTCTTGATGTTAGCTAAGTGAATTTCATCAAGTTTCCTATTATCGAGTGTCTCATTTGCTTCATCTGGTTTCCCCAAAAGCACATCACTTTCCTTATAGTCGCCCTCAAATAAAGGCAGCTCATTCTTTTCCCCCATGTGCCACTCCCTGCCCACCAGCCACACACTTGTAGTGTCTTGGAATAGAGGAACTTGGTTCTCATTATTCTTTTTCCACACTGAAGACTTCAGGCTGTTTTTCTTTATCACTTTCTGAATGACTTCTCTTTTAAAGCGCACAGCATTTGGTTTTAGCACTCCCTCCCCATCCTTGAAACTTGCATCTGCATTCAAACTGGATGACATCACCGTCCTGGAGGACACCCACTGACCACCAGCTAGCTCCTGGCTGCTCCATTCCAAACAGCTGAGGCAAAATTAAACCATGTTTATATCCTCAAGGGTTTGACGTTTTACCAAGAGCAAATACTTAATGGGACAACGTGAACCTCTCTGTGCTGTGTTTCAGTGGTGCATTTCCATCTAAGCCTTGCCATCACTTGGAGAAATCCCCCTTTCAAAAGTTTAAACTTACTACCTTGCGAGTCCCTTCAGCCTAAGTAAGCCCAACAACTCCTCTTCTTTGCTTCTTTACCCAGGCTAGCTACTAAATGAGCTGAAAAAAAATCCATCAGTTGCTCATATAGGTATCTATTTGAAGCTCACCATTGCTTTTTTCTTGCTTTTCGTCAGGTGCTGCTTCCATTCCCGCCTGTATCTGTTTCAGACATTTACTGTTCTCTCCTTAAACCATCTTTCTGACTTTGCTGTTCTTATCATATTCTCACATTGGATTGCTAGGCGAAAAGAGAGTAGTCATCAAACTTAAATGTTCTTAACACCCTGCCCTTATTTATGAACTTCTCTGTACTGTATCTTCCTCCATCTTTCTCTTCCTGTTTCTGTTCCAAAGCTCATTCATTTGCCTGTTATGTTTTTGGGAGAGGGTTTTCTGTTTGTTTGTTTGTTTGTTTGTTTTTTAAATGGCAGAAACCATGTTAGGTCTCTTAAGTTTCGAAGTTCTCTTTTTAAAGACTTCCCACTTTTTTCTGATTACAAATGTAGCATGCATTATTGAAAACTAAACAACGTAGGAAAAGTTTGCCACAAACAGTGAGAGTCCGGAAATTCCTCTGTGATTGCACTGTGGCAGAGACCTTTTGTTGACTACACCAGTCATTCCTTACCGCCTGACACCCGTCTGCCTTTTCAGAAGAGCCCAGATTTGTTCAATTATTGGGAATCTTAGTGCTTCTTGGACCACAGGATGCTGACCCCCTCCTGCTATACCAGTTAACTTTTGCTATGGTAACAAACAACCCTAAAAGCACAATGGGTTAGAAAAACAAACATTTTATTTCTTGCTCAAGTCTCATGAGGGCAAATGGTCAGCTGCTGCTTTGCTGGGCTTAGCTATTTTAAGTGTCTTTTCTTTTCAGGACCAAGGCCAAAGAAGCACTTGTTCTCGTGACAAAAAGCAAAAGTTCAAAGCAAGAGGTTGGGGGTGTTAGGGTGAGGGAGTCAAAGGGCACTTAAATCTTCTCCTTGCATGTGACATATGTCACACTCATATTCTGTTTGGGAAAGCAGGTCACATGGTTAAAACCACAGTCATTGCTTGGGGAAGTGGACTCAGCCTACAAGGAAGGCACTGCAAAGTCATGTGAAAAAGGACATGGGTATCGAACCCTAATTGCCAGCCAACCATCTTGGGAATTCCATTCCCCCTTGCAAATGAACAGCTTAGGTCTGCAGAGTGCGAGATTCTGGCCAGTGAGATTCAGGGGGCGGAGGGAGATTTCTGGGAGTTCTGAGAAAGTGAAGATGTGTGTATGGGGTAACACTGTGCACTGGAAGCTTACACATGTGAGCCCTGGTGCTTAGAGGTGTGTCAGGTCCTGCATGACAGTTGGGCTCTGCAGACAGAGTGGGCATCTCTTACTGCTCTGGTTAAATGCTGCTCATGCCCTCTCTGAACTGCTGTTGTCAGTTGGTGGCTTCCCTGTGCTTGCTTAAACTGAAGGTGTGAATCTCTGTGGGGATCAGGTTCTTCCTTCATGAGCTGATCTATAGTTAAGAAGATTAATTCATTGATTCAAATACAATCGTTTCCCTGATCACTCACTTTTACATTAAAAACTTAATACAGTGAATGAATGTTTTAAAAAGTTGTTTTGTGTTTCATTGTCTGTAGTTTATCTTCACCGGCATTTTTTTTTCAAAATTTGTCTTGTTAGGTTCCCCTTGTACTATGAACTTAAGATTGCTTTTGTCATATGGCTGCTCTCTCCCTATACCAAAGGAGCAAGTTTACTATATAGAAAATTCCTTCATCCACTTCTGTCTTCAAAGGAAAGGGTAAGATATATAAATTATCTCCACAAATCATGTTAGGAATGTGTATTATCAGGTGCTTTATGCTATAAAACTAATGAAATGATTATATTATGGGGGGAATCCTATTTTTTGGATTCTTGACACTATATTTGAGTAAAATCAATGTCTATGGGTTTGGGTTTTTTTTTTTCCAGGAGATTGATGATTATATTGTACAGGCAAAGGAACGAGGCTATGAGACGATGGTCAACTTTGGACGGCAAGGTTTAAACTTAGCAGCTACTGCTGCTGTCACTGCAGCAGTGAAGGTAATTTTTTGTTTATATTTTTTATCCAATGGCACATTAAGTCAGCGGATAAAGTAGAGTGGCTTTCTATTTCAGATCATTATAAAATATGGCAGAATTTTGCTTTCTGTTTATGTTTATTTTTATAATACTGCAATGAAAAATTAGATAATTTAGAAGAATTTGAACACATGCTTTCTATAACTACTCAATATTTTGAAACTCATAATTGATTACAAAATGAGAGCTAGTTAACAAATAAAACATACTGGAAAATGTCATTTTGTCATAATTTTCCTACTTTATAACCTTAAAATAGCTTGAGTAAATCACCTTTAGTAAAGATGACCATTCTTTCTTTCTCTGTCTATGGTGTTCTCTCTCTCGGTGGCACTATCTTGGTAGGATTTCTGGCTTACTTCTGCACCCCTACTTCAACCAATTTGAGGTAACTGATTATTCAAAATAAGGCATGAAAAAATTCTGTTCTTAAAACCTGAGATTTTACTTAGCCAATACTAATGTCATGTGTTGTGTTTTGCAAGCCAAGTTATCAAATGAATGCCTCCTGTGAAAATTTGCATTGTGACTTTTGGATTTCTTTGCATGTAGTAATTAGTGTGGTTTATTTTAAATACCATAAAATAATTGATTTTGGTGTGTAGTATATGGAAACAAAACAGAGTTCAGACCCAAAAAGTGCTGAGCGTGACTTTCTAAATAACCACTGTCAATTTACTTAACTTCCGTATTCCTTAGTTGCTTGATGAATAAATTGAGAATACTATACCTGTTTGTGAGAGCATATATAAAAGCACAGTGCTTGCCAAAGTATAGTAGGAGTCCAATAAACATTATATCATGTGTCTCTCTCAATTCAAGGGGAAGTTTGAATTTGTTGCTATTAAGTTAAATTGAGACTAAATGGTATTGTAGCTTTAAGCTTTTTCAACTTAGTTATCTCGAACTAAAACAATGCTGTGAAAATAAATAGTCTAATTAAGCGGTCAATTTATATAATAGCAATGGTGAAGGGATGGAAAATGTCAAATGGAATTCCCAGAATGAGCCTTCTCTTTTCAGAGTGATCTTTGGCTCAAGAATCATCATTATTATGATCCACGAGATAAAATATTTACATTCTATACTAGAAATGTTACATTGAGGAGTAAGTGGAAACTTATTCACTATGTAGCACTAATCATGTAAGACAACTGTATTATTAATGACTGTTAATTACCAGCACTTTATTATAGTTTGCCTATTATTGGCTTTTGAAGGCTTTTTATCAGTATAGACACAAACAAATACTAAAATAGCAAAATTTTCAGCTTACTTAAGGACTATTTTCCATTTCAGAAGTAAATTTGCTTTTTATTTCTTAAAAAAATGCATTCCTGATTTCCATATTTACTAAAAAAAAAAGTCATCCAAGAGATCCAACGTTCAACAACTAGGAAGTCTTACCAAAAGAACAGATGTAATTATTGAAGAAATAATACAATAATATTTTCCAGAACTGAAGGACATGAATCTGCAGGTTGAAAGGGCCCACACAGTACCCAGCAGAATGAATGAAAAAAGGGCTGACTCTAAGCAGACCACTCTCAAGCAAGGTCATTGCAATATTCCCAAACACCAGAGATAAGGAAGGAATTCTTAAAGATTCCAAAGATAAAAAGTATGTCACATTCAAATGATCTAGAAGCAGAAAGGCATTAATTTCTAAATAGTGACAATGGAAGCTTGGATGGAAGACTGCGGCCATCCATGATACTACAGTGATTTTCACCCTCAAAATCTGAAATGGTCAAGCTCTCTGTCGTGTGTCAGCTCTAGAATAAATCTTTTATTGATTTATTTTTCCTATAGACATGCGTAGTCACAAAATTTACCTCCTGTGCCTCCTATGTCAGGGTAGATGTGCTCTGCCAAAGTTAGGGAATAATCCACGAAAAAGGGATCTGGGAGGCAGGGTATCCAACCCAGAAGAGAGGTGACAGGAGTTCCCGGAATGAACACTATACCGCAAGTCCAGAACACAACCAGCCAAAATGGGATGTGATGAGCAAAGGGTGCCAGGACAGGTGTCTCTGAGGAACATATGGAGATGAGAGTATCTGATCGGTTTAATCCTGTGCAGGAATAATACTTATCAGTCAGCATGTGCTGTGAATAACCAGAAAACAGACCGGCTGTAGATGGCCGCGACCACACTGCAGCTGCACCTCAGCCCTGAGCACCGTGAAAAATGTAGTGGAGACAATGTGAAGAGGGAGAGCACAGGCCAAATAAGCAAATGGGATAAGAAGAAAAAGGGATCATTGTAACTCTGGAAAAAGTTACAATATACAAGAAAGGAAATATAATAATGAAACATGACTGGGCTCAGCAGTGACTAAAATAGCATTTACATGGTAATCATGAGAATACTGACTATAGTTTGGACATCTGTGATTTTGCTCTATTGGGAGGATGAAGGAAGGAGAAAAGGAGGTGGAAGTGGACTAAAATCCTCATCTGCCATATAGTAAGGTCGAGGGTTTAAAATGGTTGCCTGCAGGGGGATGGAGAGGAGAAGGGGACCAATTATTGCTTTCTTTTACAAAATCTAGTGTTATTTGACTTTACAAAATACGTGTATTTATTTATACCTGAAAGAAGATGCTTTCTGAATTTTTCATATTTAAAAGCATCATTCAACATGATTCTATGGTGAAAAACTAAAAATTGAATTTCAACTTGAAAAATTGATATTTTAGAACATTATTTTTGGAAACAGGAGCATACAAGTCCCATTTTCTTGTCCTCACTTTAACACTTAAACATAGTTTATAATTCTACGTTGTGAGACACCTTCCCATGTATCGTGACTATTCTATGGGATATTTATTTTATTTTGACTTATGTTGACTACTTCCAAACTCTATGTGGGAAATCAGAAACCTCCACCATATTATCTTAAATGTATTCATTCCCTCTTCATTTATTTTTATTTTACACTTTGGTGCCATCAATATTTAGCATCCTACATATTCAACATCTATTTATTTAATTCCTGCACTATGGCAGGTGCTGGACATGTACAGTGAACAAGATGGATATGATCTCTACCCTGTATATTCACTAACTGAAAATTATCTCATCATTAGCTGCTAAGACCCTCCCCTTAACCCACCATTATCAAAAGAAGCATTATCTCACAGAAATACTTTTCTGTAGAAGGCTATATAAAGAACGATCCTATACCTATATTTCTCTTTTTTCTTTGTGATTGTTTTTATTTATATATTTAACAACTTAGAACCACCTCCCCACTTCAAAGGCAGAAAACAGAACATAAACGTCATCTAAGTTACCACTGCAACAAAGAAACAAACACATATCCCATAATTTGAATTCATTTTGGAACTTGCCCTTCTTTGTGACGTCATGACCCGATGTGATCTAGCCATTCTCAACATGAGCACAGGAAGGTTGACGTCAGCCATCCTGGATTTTATTCATTAAAAATGCTTGTTAAATATGCTCAACATAACATAACATTAACAAGTATTTGCCACTAGTTGTATGTACTGTGCCTATTTTAAAGTAGGTGAAAGTTTCATCTCTGGAGATGTCAAAGAAAGGCACTGTGATGGAAGAATCACTGAACCAGACACTTCCTACCAAGGAATAAATTGAAACTGAAATACAAAATAGGTCAAGTTTGAGGAGAAACTGGAAGAGAGCCAGTAGCAAGACATGAGAATTATTTAAAATTTTTACAATATGTAGTTTGTTAAAAATATCTCTCAGGCTAAACCTAATTGGACTCTTGGTGTGACCTTTAAAAATTGGTAATGCCCCTGACTACATTTCCCAGGTTGAACCACCTGAGCATATTAAAGATGAAAACAAGAATCTAATAAGAACATTTATTACGCCATAAAGCAATTTTCTGAAACTGTTACTCTGTTCTATGACCTCATTACCAGGCATCTGTTCACAAGGTCAGTGTACAAGTTTATTTTGGCTGAGCAAAGCATAAACATGTGAAGGACCTTCAAGGATTTTGCTGAGGATGTTCAACGTTGCGTAGCTTTTCACATGAGACATGCAGGTGGCTTTTGTGCCGACGAGCAACACTACTGCCAAATGAAGGACAGGCAAAGCAAAGGACTGTTAATCATATTAACCATTTCTTAGAATTTTTGTCTGGCAGCCTTTTCTTGGTGAATTTTTTAACAGGTATTATTTTAAAAATCAGTTATCACAGAAATTAGAGCCTTACAGGTAAAATTGATGAAATCTAATTGACTAATCTAATTTAAATGATTAAATAAAAAATCCTGACATCTTGCTGTCTGGTTTTTGTTTTTTTTAACAATTTTTTTTTAAAGATTTTATTGGGGAATTGGGGAACAGAACAGTGTTGGGGAATCGGGGGACAGAACAGTGTTGGGGAATCAGGGAAGGGGAACAGACAAGTTGCTGGCCTTTTGTTCTTCAGTCTAGTTGTGGAGGACGTCGCTTAACTGGCCCATGTTGGTATTATCATTGTGCTCTTCTTAGGTGAGGCAGATGGGTCGCCGGTCATTGGACGGCCGCTCACTACAGCCCACTGCAGCCTACGCACCGGCAACCAGCAACTCATGGCAACCCAGCTCCAGGTCGAGCTGTTGTTCACCATCTTAGCTGTAGAGGGCGCAGCATCACTGGCCCATGTGGGATCTGAACCGGCAGCCCTGCTGCTCACAGCTCACACTCCCAAGCCAACTTTTAACCAACGAGTTACTCAGCCGGCCCCTTGCTGTCTGTTTTAGTAGCTTTCTGTTTATGAAAGGATTTGAGGGTATTTAGCTGCTTGTCATCATCCATTTTAAATAGAAAACAGTGGAAAAGAAAGGTCGTACTATTTTCCTATAGTCTAGGAAGCATAATGTTATAATGAGCATTGAATTCTATAGCAGTCAAGTTATCTGCTTTTTTTTTTTTTTTTTTTTAAGCTCAGATCCTGCCGTGAATTAGCCATGAGATTT